TTCCCTACAGAAAATTTTGTCCTAATTTGGTACAAAATAAGACAAAGTGTAAACATTGATTCATTCTTAGTCATCCAATAAAACAAGACTGTGATCACTAAGAAGGAAATAAGGATACTAAATATCTTTGCATCAAAGTAATGCAAAAGTTTAATTTAACTGTACAATATCCTGAATATTCAGCAGTGGTTGCAGAGTTAATCCTGCAGTCATTTGGAGCCTTTGTGACTATGGATTAGGAAACTGAAGGCTGAAGAGTGGAAGCAATTGCTGACTAAGGTGTTCAGGCTTAGTCACAACCAGAGCTTTAAGAAAATTACTCAATTTCCCACTTTTATTTGACTGAACTAGACCTTTGTGAAATAAATTTTTATTGTTAGTCTTATGAGCTGTTCTTTGCTGAGATGTAAACACAATCAAACTGTAAAATGATAGTTCCAAAATCTAATTTTGGAAATTCATTTTGTTTTGTTCTGAATAGCATAAAATATTTTAACAAAAACCAGATGGTCCTAATTGCTAAGTGAAACTGTTATCAGTTACTTATGAACAGTGATTGCTGTCTCTTTACCAGCAACTTTGGAATGCCTTAGCTTCTTAATTGAAATAGAGGAATGAAAAAGCGTGCTTCACTTTCAATGTGGAGATGTCAGTTTGAAGATTTATTTCAGTTCAAAAAGAATGCAATAGATAAGAACTTTTCATGCCAGAAGAAATAAACAAAGTGGCAGGTATTCAGACTAGGGGAACACATGAGTATTCATACTGAACTCTGCAGAAATGTTGGTATTTTGCATTTTTTAGAAATTATATGAAATGTATAGGTTTCCAAATATTGAGTTAGAAATCTATTTGGAAGTCTCAGACTTGTTATCTTTGATCTTCATTTTTTGGGATCAATTCACTTATCTACATATAATTGTCTACTGCCATTTGAATTGCCTCAGCATAGCCTGCTTGACCTCCAGCAATCATGTATTCTTCTCCTGTGTATTTTTTGTCATATCTGTCAGCCTGCAGAGAATGTTACAGTACACTATGTGTCACAATTAAATGTTGATCACTGTGGACAGCAGAAACAAGTCCCATCTTTGAAATTAAGGATAACACCTTTGCAGACACCTACATGTAAACACTTATATTGTTATAAATGTATTTGGACCACATTTTAGTATTTTTTTTTAGTGTTGTTCTGCATTTCTTATTTTTTGCTGAAGAAAAATTGTATGCTTGTAGCTGATGAACCAAAATTTTCTTTAGGCTTGGCTGACTACCCTGAGCATAACAGCAATTTAGACACTGTAGACACTGAGAGATTAACACATACATGTAGGTGTCTTAATCTTGAATTGGATCCCACCAACAGATGTCTGATAATCATATAGAAATTTAGATGTCTTAGGGCTGGATGCACAGAAATAGTTATCAAAAGTCTTACTTGCTTAAACATCTCTCATGTAAGAGTATGCATTCTCCTGGCTACCTTAGAGTCTATCTCTTAGGCAGTACCAAAAATGTTCTGTGGCTTCAGTGACACATTTACTGGTAGTATGGTACTTCTTTATTCCTCAGCATCCATGCCAACAAAACATAGTGTCAAATGCACATTTATGTAGTTCTGAATTCGTGGAGCACTTAGGACTGTAAAAGCTTCCAACTGAACAATTGCTTTACATAGACAGCTTTTACGTCCTACATTGCTCAGTGGTAGGACTTTAAAATAGCCTGCATTTCTATTAGTTAATCTCCAGGTACTATAGAAAAGGCAACAGACTGCAAAATTATTCATATAAGAAATGAATGCAGCGTGGTAATAGTGAGAAAGAACAGTCAGAACTGTTTACTCCTGGGAACTATTATAAAAGGAGAAAGGAAACAAGTTTCTTGCCTGCAGATGGTTACCAACACAACATATTTTTTAAAATCGCATTTTTACCATTTTGAATTTAAAACATCCTAAAATTTTCCTCATAATATATTCTAATGAAGAAAATCAATGTACAATCCCCAGGGGTATCATTTTCTTACTTGCTGAGCAGATACATGAATGTTAGTTTGACCAAGACTTTTCTTCAGTATAACCAAGATCCTTGAAATCAAGGTAGTACTTTTTACAAATCCACGTTTAAAACACAATGCAATATTCTTCTCTGCAATGCACTGCAAATTTGGTCTGTACCATAAGTGTTCATTCTGGACTAGCATACAAAACTTATGTAGTTTGGTTTTTGTTTGTTGGGGTTTTTTTTACATTCTTATGGCACTCTTGGCAGTCTATGGTGCAACGGAAGAACAAAAATATCTACTCCCAGAAAGAAAATATCTTTCTTTCTCTTCAGGTGAGCAAAGCACCAAGTAGTGTGTGAATCTGGTAATAAAATAAAATCACTTGTGTTTGCTGACCATATGAAATTTAAATGAGATTTACTTTTGTTGTTGTTGTTGTTTGCTGATGTCAGATAAAAACCCAGATGCTCTTTTTCTACAGTTCCGAGCTTTTGTTTTATTAACTTTTTTTTGTGTGTGTGTGGACTTTCTTAGGTTATATTCAGTTGGAGGTCGGGATGGAAGTTCATGTTTGAGTTCAATGGAATATTATGATCCTCACACAAACAAGTGGAATATGTGTGCTCCTATGTGTAAGAGAAGAGGAGGTGTAGGAGTGGCTACATGTGATGGCTTTCTTTATGCAGTTGGAGGCCACGATGCTCCTGCTTCTAACCATTGTTCCCGACTGCTGGATTATGTAGAAAGGTATCCAATTATACATGTATTTTTTACTATGAAATAATGTCCAGTAGCATAATTTTCTTAGCTAAATGATGGCAAAAATAAAGTTGTTTTTACTCCAAGAAATGTCAACTTGTTGTTTACTTGAAAAATTCCATGGAGATTTGTAGAAGACAGTTTCTCTGAAGTTTATTTTCTTCCCAGTTTTTTTCAGAGTACTACTATTTATTATCATGGACACAAAACTCTTCACATTTCACTTAAGAAGTCTCTATTTTTAAGGCATGATATTACACATTGCAGAGTCATGAACTAAAATTTGCAGAGATAAAAAACTCAGCCTTGACATAATTTTATAACACCAAATTATGTTTAGAAGTATTTTCTAACCGAAAATGTAGCTGAGCAAAGAAGAAATATAGAACTGCTTAAGTAGTGGATATTTACAGTGTATGATACTGCTTTCTTAAGCAATACTGCCATTTTCTAACACATTGATATAAGCCTTACAAACTGGATTTACAGTGCCCTGAATTTTGCAGATGGATATTTTGCAAATTAAAAAAAAGTATAGGGCCAGTAGGAGTGATTATAGCATTCAGTTTGAAAGTAGTCTTCAAATGTTTCATGAGTCTGACATTTTTCTATTTCTGTATGATTTAAAATAGAATAAGGAATAATTTCTAGATATGTACCGGTTGTAAAGGTTAAAGCATGTATTGGAGTAGTTGGTTTATCTCAACAGAAAAATAGACATAGCTGCTGGGAGAGATTTATCTTTTTTGAAGAGGTTAAACTTTACTCAAATGTCTGTCACTGTTTCTGGAATCTGACTTGTCATTCGACAGTTAGCCAATATGCAATCTAAAAATTGGGAGTTGAAACTTGCTTCTTATGCTATCCATATTATTTTTCTCAGTTTTAGACTCATTCCCATCTCTGCTGTATACAAGTAAATATCATAGACTGCCAAATACTTCAATTCTCATTTTCAACAGATGAAAAGTTCAGAGAAATCCCGTGTTGCCTGTGTTTACAGGGCCTGTCTTCTTGGGCTTCTATTTATAAGGATGAATAGCCAGATTTTTCAATGAAGTAAATTTAATTTAATACTACTAGTGACAATATTAAGAAGTATGAAATATTTCTGCTTGCTGGTGCATGCAAGGGAAATTTTCTTCCAGTTTTTGGTCTCTCGAGATGAAAAACCTCCTGTTGTTGAAGACAAATCACAGCCCATCAACATTTGTATTTCTCAGGTAGGATTATAACAGCAAACTATACCACATATCTTTTAAGTTTTTTTATGTACTGGTATCGGAATGACATACAGTGCTCCTCATGCAGGTATTTTTGCAATGGTTGAAAAAAAAAAAAAAAACAAAAAAAAAAAAAAAAAACAAAAAAAAAAAAAAAAAACAAAAAAAAAAAAAAAAAACAAAAAAAAAAAAAAAAAACAAAAAAAAAAAAAAAAAACAAAAAAAAAAAAAAAAAACAAAAAAAAAAAAAAAAAACAAAAAAAAAAAAAAAAAACAAAAAAAAAAAAAAAAAACAAAAAAAAAAAAAAAAAACAAAAAAAAAAAAAAATAACTTCAAGTGCAGTGAACTTCCAGACTAAAAGTTGAGACTAACAAGCCAGAGCTTGTAAGGCTATTTGCTTTCATAGAGTAGATTTGAATTAACAGCTGGACTCTAACAAGACAAGAAAAAACTCTCACGGCCCTCTCAGTGATTGGTAAGTTTAAAAGGTGGCTGGGATGTGATATAGTGTCTCTGTATTTACATCCAAGTTCTATTATAGAGAGTTATTTCATGTCTCTCAAAAGTTTTACTCTCTGTAAATATTTGATCATCAGTCTTTTTAATGAAGTCTCATTCTTCTTCAGGAATAAGTCTCTGCTTCAGTAGTTTTGTCATTCTGATACAGCATGCTAGGATGTGTTTCATTCAAAGAAGATGACTGTGAAACCAGACATAATGTGTTAAAATATATTTTTCAGATCATGTAAACCTAGTCAGAGCAGATACATCATTTTTTACATGTTACTGCTAAAATCTTCCTCAATAGTAATTAGGACTTCCAGTTTAAGGATTTCTAAGGTTGATTAAATGATTTTCCATGGATTCAAGAATTATAAAATAAAATAATGTCTTTTCTGCTCTTGACAAGCTGGGAAAGAACAATGTTGTATTCCTTGTTAAAGGTAAAATAACTAGCTCATATTTATGAATTATAAAATTTTTGAACATTTTGCTGTATGTTATAAAGTAGCTTTCTTTTCCAAACGTTGCTCAAAACTTGACAGCTACTAAAAACAAAAGCAAAGTTCTATAATTGTTCCCCTTCATATCACCTTGATTTCAGATTGATTTCTTTCCACATTCAGGAACTTTTATTATAACCCTTCTCACCCTTGGGCAGCCTAGTTATTATCAAGATGAAATGTACAGTTATTTTTAGCAGGTAAAAGGACATAAGAAATGACTATTTCCTGGCAATTACAAAAAACAGGTTCTTGTGCCATTCTGTTTTATGGACAGAAATGAGTTGTAAGAATTCTGTTTAGCCCTTGCTCAACTGTTTATTAAAAATAAATATTTTTTAAAAATCCAAATATGTCACTTGTATTTGGTTTCCCTGCTTTTGCACCTTCTCACCTTGGCCCTTGCAGTTCAAGAGTAGTAAAAATGCTTTATTAAAAGTTATTGCCTTTAGGCAGATGAAGATACAATGGTCACTGGTGCTTTTACTTATTGGAGATCTTTCAGCTAAGACACATACAGGGCCAGTAAAAATCCAGTAAAAAATAATATTTTTTTTGCTCATTACATATGCATTTTCCTTTCACAGATTCAGGCATTGTTTTAAAGTATTTTCCTCCCAAGTTTTAAAAACTCTAACTCAAAACTTTTCACCGAAAGAGAGCAAAATGAAAGAATGTGAATACATGAAATCAATACAATTTTTAATGAAGTAAAAAAAACCAGCACAATCAATTTAATGGTATTTTAAACATTAAAAGTTTAACATGTTATCATATTATTTTCTAAGAAGTCCCCATAAAGCCAGGAGGATTAAAAGTCTGTAGATCAGTAGAATTTTTTCAATAGATGTATTTAGCTGTCAAGATCCATTTAATCAAGTTTAAAGAAAATTATTGTTCAATTTCAAGGTAATATTTATATACCAAAAGGCAGTTACAAGCAAAGCACTGTAACAACATTGTTACAATGTTTATATTTAATTTTTTTCATTGTTATGATATAATGGGGGACTTCAGACAATGTTCTGACTAATGCCTACTGAAAATATGAATGACTGAAATAGTTGCAGGTGGTCTTACAGTCAGCCTTTGTATTAGGCCTGGAAAATACAACTGTTTGTAGGATTAGCAACTTCTAGTTAATGAAGTTTAGGCTACAAGAAATGAAGTTTAAAGAACTTGACTCCTCCAAAAAATGTTCCTATAGAAAATGGTTTAATGCCTGATTTTATATAAAAATATACTAGAGGACTTGTAGATAAATAAGATTTTTAGCCATTTTAGAGTTACTTTGTAATTATTTTAGAGAAATAAACTGAAAGAGAAATACAAAAGAAATAGCCCAAAGTGTGACTTATCTTACACTTAAGCAAAGAGCTGAAGTCAGTAAAAGGATGTCTATCCTCAAATGTTTCTTTTCTCCTCTAATTATATCTTAAAAACAGTACTGCTCTCTTCACAAGCAAATAACATGAGAATTTAACTCCAGCGCAGTTACACATATTCTGTGAATTCTTAAAGATGTTTCCTAGCTGTGAACATTGTCAGGTATAATTTTAGAAATTAAAATGTAGTGTAATACAATTTTAGAAAAAGAAAATATGATGCTACAAGAATCTCTTATATCGAATATATGCATAAAAATATACATACAGGCAGATATTGCTCTTATACCCTTCTGAGATCTCTTTTTATCACACCTTACTTCACAAATACCTTTGTTTATTCCTAAAGTTCATCTGAATAAGTTTCTAGTCAAGATTTAGAAGTCTAGATTTGAAACGCAATAAACTTGCATGTTTTCTTCTTAGTGTCAGGAAGTATATTTTGGATAGGATGATAAAGGATATATATATATATATTTTTTTTTTTTTTTTTTTTTTTCCACAAAGTGAAGATCAACATGAACTGACACTTATCTTCTCCCTGGACATTCAGTTTCTTCTTTTTCCTTAGGTATGATCCAAAAACTGATACGTGGACAATGGTTGCTCCACTGAATATGCCTCGAGATGCTGTTGGTGTCTGTCTCCTTGGTGACAAACTATATGCAGTAGGTGGCTATGATGGTCAAACATACCTGAATACTATGGAAGCATATGACCCTCAAACTAATGAATGGACGCAGGTAATAATAAAGTCTTAATTATTTTTGTCTCTATGTATTGATAGTTGTACATTAAAATATTACTTAAAAAAATAAATTATAGTATCTGAGTTTGCCATGGCTGTAAAACTGGTAACAAAAAAACAAACAAACAACACATTTCTCATCTTTCTCCTACAGAAGAAATGTCATAAAAAATAACTAAATTAATATGGAATTTTCATTGGTAATCAGCATGTGCTGAAGGGTCTTCATATAAAAGGCCAAGTTTTCATGTAGTTCTTCAAATCCTTTTTTCTGTTTGTTTGTTTGATGAATATTTTGAAATGTTGAACCACATGAGAATTAATAAATATAATAGAAGCAGTGATACAATATAAGAAGCTGGAGACTGGTGGTTTGGTTGTAGAAGTAATGTGATTTATTATGTCACAGTAGTACTTGGAAAGATTTGGATTCATTGCAGAGCCTTAAAAAGAAACAGGTCTCTTTCAACACTTTCAGTTAGTAATTCAGTTTTAAGACTTTCTGAAAAAGTATTTGTCCTACCAGTGTAGATGTTTGTATCTGAATTAATCACCCTAAGTTCCCTTTAAAGTTAGTGAAGAAAAATACATCCTGCGAAAGCATGATTTTATCCTAAAATAAACATTTAAAATAGGCCAGATGTATTATACTAAAAAATGCCTATTTCTTTTTATCATTGTAAAGAGGGCGTTGTTGTCAAAAATAGCATCTAAAGCTGCCAGTCTTACTCTGAAGGACTCTTGAACCTGTTTAAAAGTACTGGAACCATACAATTTTGTTATCAGGAGCCTTGACCTTGCCTCAGGTACTAAAGTGGAAGCATCAGCTAGACTTTACAGATTACAGAAACCCTTTGCAACAATTCAAAAAATTGACAACACATCTGAAATCACTACTTGTTTTTTCTGTTCTGAGACTTTAAGGTGAAGAATTTCATATGTGAATAAATAACTTTAAAACTGCAATACTAGGATATTGTGGGTTGTATTTATTTTTAGTGGTTTATACTCCCATAAGTTTTGACCATTTTAGAGTAACATTGACACAACCCTTTGGCAATTTTTTGCGTGGCTTTTCCCTGTTCAATTAATATGTATCTTTTTTTTCTGCAGATGGCTTCCTTAAATATTGGAAGAGCTGGTGCCTGTGTTGTAGTCATCAAACAACCATAACAGCACTGCTTAAGATTTTACTGACTGTGAAATTATTATTTTTCTATCAGACAATGAGAATGATAACTTCATGAAGACAAGGATTTACACTGAATACTGTGTTGATCGCAAACTTTAAGAATTTTTGAAGTGAGAAATATTTAGTATTTGTCCCCTATAAAATCACAAAAACTGTTCACAGCCTGTGAACAAGAAAAAATCAGGCTGTTGAAGGCATAAATATGTGAATGTAGGGTAGTAAGACCAGATACTGTTCTCATTAACTAGTCCTGGAGAAATGGATAATCAACGGACAGCTCTATACAAGGAGCAGGAGGGAATAGAAGAGCAGTTTTAATGGCAGCAAAAATTTTAAGTACAGAAACATCAAGGTACCTTTAATCACTTTTGAACTGCTTTTTAAAAGATAAAAGTAGATAGTAATATAAAATGTATCTGTTCAGGTCTTGTCTTCAAATGGGCTATGGCCTTCTCATTTAAACAGGCCATTTAGTTGTTATTGAAGGGAAGGGGTAGAAAAGTCAAGATTCATTCATAATGACCGAGCTGTTGCTCTACAGTAGGATAAATGCAAATTTCCAAGATTATTTTTTTTGTAACTTCAGGTTGGACCTCCTTGTCAATGTTAATCCATCTATAAGTTTTTGAAGAGGAAACCTGTGTGTGTAATCATACACAAAACAATCATTTGGCTGCACTGGGGCTTTGTTGCAAATGTGGGAGTCAAAAGAACAGTTCCTAATTCTTTCTTAATCTTATATTCAATTTAAGCATGTGGGCTCTGCTCTAAGTTTAAAGAATCTCCTGCATGTTGGAAGCTCATGAAAAGCTGGAAGATTTATATTCTTCCTTCAGTGCATCATGTAACAGATGAACCATGACCAGAACAGTCTGTAAAGCCTCCACTAACATGCAAGAGGGATAAAATGATACATTTTATTGCTTTCTGATGCTTGTACATACACAACTTTGCCTGATTAGAGCTGCCAATTTATGAGTTTCCACTTATGCCTGAGAATAATTGCAAGTAGGGAACTCAGAATAAATGCAAATGGAATAAGGAAAATTAAATCATTTGACCTAATAAAGTTCATATGGTAAATATACTAATGTAATCTATGTTGCCCTTTAGGTTTGCTCACTTCTAGCAGTAATGATACTTTGAGCTTTTGTCTTTGGAGTAGATTTGATGTTGATGCTTTATAACTGCTCAGCTAAATCAGTTAGAATCTTAAGGCCATTAATGGAGCCACATGTTCTGGGAACAGAATTACAAAGTATACCTGTTATTTAAAGACTTGTTAGTCTTTTAGAAACATTTCATGATCCAGAATCAGAAACCTCTCAGTCCACTGTCACTAGCAATTCTGGGAATTAATTCTGGTTGTAGATAAAACCGTTTTCCTAGTGGAAACCTTTGAAACCATTTGAGATGAAAAAATACATACAGCCTCCTACTTGGGACCTTTGATTTGAAGTTCAGTTCTAAAGCCTAAGTATACTGTATTAAAGCTTTTTATATGCTTTTCTGTGCTAATCAGAAATCAGCTGCAAAATCTTCAATATTAGTTTTCTAGTCAGTTGGCTTTTGAATTGCAATTAATCTTTCTTCCTCAGATAAGCTTGTAATTTTTTCCCCACCTACAGCAACTTGTTGAATAAAAGATCTTACCTCTCTATAAAATTTTCTTTACATAAAATATGCACTTCTGAGACCAAACCAAGAAGATTCTAGCATTATAATTGCATTAAATACAGACATCAGCATTCAGTTCTCCTACATAGATACATAATGAACTTAGAAATTGAATTTTAATTCTATGCCCAGAACTTCCTTTTGATTACATTATATTCTTAAACAAGAGAAATATGATTATCTATATCCTGACCTTCAAAAAAGGATTGCTTCTATTAATTGCAATTCCTTACGGTTTTGTTTTATTTACCTTGATAATTTTTATCCTCAATGTATCATATTTTTTATTTTTTAATTATCAATTTACTTTTACAAATATTCAGTTTGCCAAAATAAACATTGTTCTCATGTGAAATTTTTCAAACTACTTCTCTTATGCTGAAAGTATAAAAATTCTGACTTGTCTTACTTAGATCATGTAAAATGTACCCACACTAAGAGACAAATCTGGGTTCTGGATTCTTTTTATAAACCTATATCAATATGTTATGGCATTTTTTCCTGAACAGAATTTAGGGAGATTTTTTTAATTTATATTTTAAATTTTTCTTACTGTTGTGTTTACCCATCTCATCTTAAAAAAAAAAACCAAAAAAACCACACTTCTGATAGACTGATTTTTTATAAATAATAACAGAATAAGGGTATCTCTGGAATGTAAAAAAATTAGGAAAACAAATTTTTGTCACTTGCAAGAAGACATTCCCCAAGAGTAAAATATTTTATTCCCAGCAGAACCAATGGTATTTTATTTAGGGAATAACTTTGCTAGCAATCTACTGGCTCATAAATTGTTATACTATTTGAAAGCAGTAATTTCTTACATTCTTTCATGTAAAATAAAGACTTGACTTTGTACATTCACCATAAAAGAAGAAAAATTATTTGTACCAAAGCTATACTGAAAATCTCAATACTGAAAACCAGCAGCTCAAATATCTATTTAGAAGTCAATGAAAAATTACATAATTTAGATTATGAGAATATTAAGTTCTTCAACGTTTTTGCATCTACTGTGGCAAGCAGATGTACCTAGAGTAGGTAATGCAGGCTTGCTGCCAACTCAGAAGAGAATCTCAATATGTAAAAGTAACATCAGAAATATTTCTGTTTAAAAATAGATTATCCATGCAATGTATCTGTTTTAACTTAATGAGAATCTATGAAATATTCAGCAGACCAGTTATTCTTCAGCCTTATTCTAAATCCAGTGTAAAGCTGCTCAAATTGGCATAACCTTATACTTCATCGCAAAGTCTCTGCAATTATAGTTCTGCTTCATAGTACATAGGTACACTTAGGGGCAGAGAGGCTGCTTAAAATATTTAAATCAGCAAAACTTTGATGTCTAAGTGCAGGACTGCAACTGTTACAAATTAAACTATAAAAAAAAAACTACTAGCAAAGGTAAGAAGTACAGTGGCAAGGAACAATACAGGTTGTAATCACTGGCTATCCCCTTTGGGGATCTGTGGAGAGGCCAAATACCTCACATTCTAAGGCAGAGGTATAAGCAACTTACTTCTCTCTCCCCATATTTTCCCAAATCTTTCATATTTTTTTTTTAATTTTTTTTTTTTTTTTAAGAATGTTTTAAAATCTGCTCTTTCAGAAGTCTAGTACTCTTCAGAATTAGGTCTGTGAACTGGGATCCTTTTCTGTCATCTTCACTTAGACATCTAGGTTGTGTGTAAAGTGTGGTATTGTTAGTGAACTATTTCTAACGTAGAGGCTGTCCCCCAGAAAAGTCACTTGGGACTGCTGCCTTTGAAGACCTCCAGGAAGAAATATTATTTGAAAATGGAGATACTTAAATTAAGTAGATCAGCATTTGTTTTACTTGCATCCACATAAGTGTCTAATGCCATCTAAGATGCCCATGACTGTCTAAGACACCCACACAAGGGTGGCAGGTATAACACAGACTACGTTTTGCAGAGAAAACAAGTTCAAACAGGAAGCTCTAAAATATCCCACATGATATTTATTAGGTGCTTATGTGTAGGCAAATATAATCCATGACCCCTCATGCAGTGCCATTAGATACTTGAAAATGGTATCTTGTAATCCATCTGGTTGATAAGAAACGTTACATTTAAAAATGTTTTACTTCCAATGCTTAAGCTTGAAAATATTAACTTTGATTGTCCAGTGAATGACAAATACAGTGAACATGGGTGTGAGAGCACAGTGAATTAATACTCTAAGTAGCACTGCTAAGTCCACCACTAAACCATGTCCCTAAGCACCACATCTACTCCCCTGTAAAATACCTCCAGGGATTGTGGCTCAACCACTTAGCCAGAGTGAAAAAAATCAATATTTCTAGGACATGATTAATCTAATTTTGAAGGTGACATAAATCACATTTTAAAAGTGATTTTCTCTCCATTGACTGTAAAAGGGGCCTAAAATTACTAGTGTAGATGCAGGCATTCACAATGTGGACACTTACATTTCCTAAAATAAATATTTAAGTTGTGTGAGATAAATCTCTAAAAATCTGGTAAATGCCTAAAAGGAAATGGCCACACAAACATTTATTTCAAATAATTATGGCAAGAATTCTATTTAGAACACTACTGGAAAACTCAACTACATACTGAAAACAAGCACTGCTTTTATTTTCAAGGAGAGGATAATTTTTAGCTGCTGAATGACATGCAAAGAAAGCATAAAGATGGCTCTTCATTAATCCAAAAGGAGAAAAAGTTTTTAGAAAATTGCAGATGCAGCTCCTGGTTGCTTAAGTTTTAGATAACCAGCTAGATTTCAGGGACAAGGGAGCCATTTAATAGAGCAAGCTGCAAAACATGTCCATATAATTGAACTTCAGAAGCCTTCAGAACACAAAATAGGATTATTTAAAATAATTGGATTCATTAGATTGCTGTAATCAATAGGTATTAGTTATCCCAGGCCCTTGTGTTGGAAGAAAAAAATAGGAGAAAAACAGACACCTCCCGCTGGATGGTTCATCTCCTCCCTGTACAGGCATACAAATAAATAACCAGCTTGAGATGCATGTTTTTCTTTTATTTATAAAGGTGCCGATGCGACCAACCCAGTTTTAAGGCACCTAAATTAGTAGGAATCCGAACAATGAAGTGTAGAAAAATAACAAATAGTATGGTCTGTCTGAAATTGTAGATCTGCTTTATCTTCTTATAGATTTACCTGTGTTATAATTTAACCCACGAATAGTTAACACCAATCTGCATCTTCTTTACCAACTATATGTATAGAAGCATAATTTAAGAAATACATTTTTGTGATTAAAGGCAACTTTTGAAATAACAGATCC